GGAGGTAAGGCAAGGTTTATGCAGCATACATACAATTATATAATAGCAAGAAAGTATGAAAAGAAATACATAGAAATGTTACCAGTGGTACTGGATAGTGGAGATGATATTTTATTATACTTTATTTACATTTTTTACATTTTATTTTTATTCTTATCTTCTTGTGTATGATTTAAATTTTTTCTTTTATATTTTCTTTTCCCTTCATAAAGATGAATACTTTTTAAATCAGGGGTAAATGTTATTGAATGTGAAAACAAAGGTAGAAAATCTGTTTTCTGATGTAGGAGAAGTTAGAGACAGCCAGGGGCGCTGACTCCAGCACAAGGGCCACCACCCAGGAGCAGGTGACAAGGACAGGCACATCACAGAACTTCCTGGGCTTCCCATGCTCTAGTTTTCTGTCTTTCTGGTGGCCTGTTGCTGCTACTTTCTCTGCCATGCTCTTGGTCCATTTTCTCCTCGCTACCTTTCTTGATTGGCCATAAGTAGAGAAGTGCATTACCATCACTTCTAAGATGAACACTTTCCCACATTTTGACAGCTTGGATATCGGGATACCCTTACACTCAATGGCATGTTGAGGAGATGTTGAATAAATGAAGAAGATCTTTGTCAATTTTCACAAAGGGAAAACGGATCACTTTACAGAAAAGAAACCCAGCAGACACCATCTTAAGTGATTAAGGGTAACACAGGCGCTAAGATACATCAGCACCAAGTATCCTCAAAGATGGTGCATATCATTTCTACGGTCTTCTTGACCGTATGACCTCAATCAAATCATGAGAATGCATTCAACAAACCAAAATTGCGAGGCATTCTACAAAATAACTGACCAGTGCTCATCCAAAGTGTCAAGGTCATGAAAGATAAGGAAAGACTGAGTAAATGTCACAGATTAGAGGAGACTAAAGAAACATGATAAGTAAATACAATGTGGGATCCCGGATTGGATCCTGAAGCAGAGAAAGGACATTAGGGGGGAAACTGGAGAACTTCAAACAAAGTCTCTAGTTTACTTGATTGTATTGAACTAGAGTTAATTTTCTGGTCTTGATAACTGTGCTATGTACGGTATGTAAGTTGTTGACATTACAGGAAGCTGGATGAAGGGTATGCAAGAACCTCTTGTAACATTTTTGCAACTATTCTGTAAGCCTAAAATTATTTCAAAATAAATTTAAAAAGTGAGGTTGAGCTATCAATATGTATTTGATTGGGTACTAATTCTAATTCCATGTTTCTTTCAAACAAGATTTTTGAAATGTCCAAAATAGCATTGACTTTGACTGGTCAGAGATACTTCGTTTTTAAGGTCAGTAATAGAAGACAGAGATACTTGGGTAAAATGTTATTTCCCTTGAGTCTCAGGATGACAGGTGCTGTCTAACCATCTTTAGAGTGCGGGCAGACCTCTCTGATCAAGCTGATTCTTGCACAATCCAGTGACCCTGGGGATTATGTTGCCAGGAGTCTTCTGCTCCTGGTAAAATTTCCCCTGGCAAACAGGGATGAGGTAAATATTCAGTCAAAAGTAATCAAGTTTTAAATTAGTGAAAACTGCTGTGACTAGTGATACTAGCAGAGAATATACCGGTAACTCAGGACAAATTGATCTACAAGGGTAGGTGCCCATCCATATACCAATACAACAGGTTTCACTTTCCAAAATATTATTATTTTCCTCACTAAGTTCCTATCTTTTAGGAATGTATGTGGGTTGACATGGCTGTCTCCTCACTACGCCTGCTGCTAAGACTTTTGCTGGGAAATTTTTGTTACAAAACTACTCAACGTGGTGAGTGAGGTGGGTAGGTGTGGTGGGTGTTGATCTGCCATAATTAAATAATGACAGCATTTATATCCTTCCCAGATAACAAGTGGCAGATATCACATAGCTTCAAGTACGGAGGGGAAAGTTCAAGACTCCGGGACACTATTGATGCAGAATCCATGAAGATAAGAATATTGGCTATGAAAACAATCACAGATTCTAGGCTGGTATTCTTAGTGATGATCTTCTGTTAAAGTCAAGGGACATTCACTAAAAATACCAACCTAGATCAATGGCAAATTGTAATATCAAGAAGTTGGCACAGAATGGGTTAAGCAATACCTTGGAAAGAAATTTTGAAATAAATTGTGCCAAGTAGACTAGGCAATTGAGTCAAAAACAGCTGCAAATCAACATGACATGAGACTCTTGTATGGAGCTGGAAATTAATCCACGGGCTATGCTGTCTACATCTCTATCTGAAGATGGTGCAAGCTTCATCACTGAACACTCAACATTCATGGAGTGATGGGCACAGCACTTCAGCACAATGTACAATTAGCTATCAAGCTTGCCCTCCTTATTTTCATAACATTCCCTCATTATGAGGTGAGTATAGGATATTGTTAACTATTGTGCCTATTATGAAGGCAAAGAACCAGCATCATCTGGTGGAGTACCTAGTGCTAATGGAATCCTTAAACAAACAAAAACCAAAAAACAAAACAAAAGCAGCAGCCCAAAACTCATCAAGTGATTGCTTCAGTTATTTAACCACTCATGGAAGAAGAAATTGTACATAGATACATTTCCAAAGTGTTTCAGTCATACAAACTCAAAGAGGGTAGCAAATGCAATAACTGTTGAAGTATGTTATTTGTGTGTTTTTGAAATGATAGTAGTACAACCCACGTAGGTCAGTTATTGTCAACTTGGTAAAGTTTTCATGTATATCATGGATAAGGAATAATATGAGAACTACAAAATTTTTTGCACAGATGTGAAACGGTGATGCACGTGCTATCTAAATGGCGAATTAATTAATTGTTGGAAAGGCACTGTATGTTTAAAATATTAAGATTTTCATTAAAATTTGAGAGTGTAAAGATGATGTAAATCATCTTTATCCTGTGTGACTGGTCATCAAGATTTTAACATATTTCAAAAATTATTTTAAAAACACTGGATGCAGTGAGTAGACACTGTATTTAAATAATTAAGTGGCTTATTAATATTCACTGGCCATTATCTATGTAGTCTCTGAATTAGACATTTCCCAAGCTTTAAAGTGGCAGTGCAGTATGCATTTTGTTAACAATCACTTTCCACTTTACTTTTCTTCAAAATGTTTCCATTATGGCGTTCTTTTGCCTTTAAATGGGAAAATTGATCTGAAGTATATAAATGACTAGTAAGAGCACACTTCTCTTTCCACTAGATGCCTGGAAAGACAGAATTTGCAAAGCCTGCAAGGAACTCTATATCTAAGAGTAAACCATAAAACAGTGATATTTAGCTTGAAGAACTAATATCACACTTACGGCAACTGAATTTGGACGTGTCCATTTGTAAGATAAATTTATAGTTTTAAATAATAAACTCTAAATAGACCTGTTTTGAAGAACTCCTAAAACAGCATCTTAGTTAACAGTAAGAAGATAACTTTTCATTTAATTCACTTTTATAGTCATACATGGTTTTCCACTTATGTTATCTCATTGGAATCTCCACAATAATTGTGGAAGTTAGGTAGAGAAGAATTACTCATGTTAGAGATGAAGTAACTCAAACTTTGTCAGATTAAGTAGCTAAGTATCCCAGTACAGGGGCTGGGATTCTTGAAACAACATCTGTACAGTGCCTAGTGCAGAGCCAGACATTCTATATGTACTGGATAAAAGACATCTTTTTTTCCCCCCAACTAGTCCAGTGCTCTTTTCCATTCAAGGCACTGCCCAATCTTTGATTTAAATAATACACAAAAGATTTAGATAATACATAAAATAATTGCAGATGAAACTTGAATGATAATGAAGTGAAGAAAACAGAGCAAGTCCTTCAGTCTTAATATCTGCTACAAATAAGAACAATTCAGACATTTTCAATGTTAGGAATTGCCATTATCTGTATAACTAGTTCCCATTCTTGAACTGAAATGGTCTGCAAAGAAAACTAGTATGCACAAAATAAGCAGAAGTAACTACTTAAATGGGGTATCATGATAAAATGTTTTCTGAATAAATGTTCACATGAAGGAAAACATCTCTATTAGTCAATGCAGCCATAAATTAAAACATTAATGAGGTAAACTTGGTCATGATGAGGACACAATATCAAGAAATTGAAAAGGTTCTTATTAAGCTTAATTCATTTCAACATATTTTGAAAAGAAATCTCAAATGCATCATAGCAAATCTTATTAATTAAACTAGGAACCTATAACCATTTTCACTGCTATGCTTTAATCTGTACATGTTTACCCTTAATTTAACGATAAGCATGAATAAAACATGAAAATCAGTGCATTTTTTTGTTCTGCAATCATATATGTTCTCGACATAATATCTCATCTGCCCTCATATTTTGTTTATAGTCTAGTACCTAATATTCGGGTTTGATGACCTTGGCCATAGAATTTTCCTTGTAAAATGTGCTCACAAATCTGAAATTGGTTATCAGCTGTTCAGGAAGAAAATTAAGTGAACCTCACATTGTAGTGCTATGTTCAAGTTAAAGGTTCAAAATTTACTTTGACTAAGAAAACTTTAAATGCCATCATTTTCCTCCTGGATGGTGAGATTTTTTACCTTATATGCTCTCAGTCTGACTTTCTTTATCCTGTGATTGGTATACTTTGATAACATAGATAATAAGCTGTATTTCAGGAAAGGGCTTCTCCAAGTTATATGAGGTTTATGATCTCTGTTTTAAAAATCTAAATCATACCCACAGAAGTAAAGTACAGCAAGGCTACACTCACTCCTACAAAAATTCTTGATTTTTTTTCTTTAAGTCTATTTATCTTGATCAGTGGGCTCTGATGGGTGAGCTTTAGTCTGGCTTAGTTCTACAAACACAAAGTCTAAACCCTGCCTTAAAAAACAAACAAACCAAATGGACCACTTTCATGCTATTATTAACTTTACTAATCTCAAAGCACAACATATAGTATAGAAATCAACAAGTTTAAATTCAAAATTGTGTGCATTTAGATGAGACTCACCTTTAAAGAATCAAAACAAGCCACCACACGACCATTTTCCACGTGGCAAACTCTTGGCGGATGGGCAAACTTGCAATCTGCATCAGCCCGAGAACAGGTTCCTCTCTGAAATTCTCTACAGACTTCTAAAGTCAGCCACTTGGTATCACGAACCAGGGCAACATTGACAGCCGTCATATTGAAAGCAAAGTTAAAACTCAAGTGCACCCTCTCTAGAACAATTTACTGCTGTGGTTGAAAGATTAAAAATAAATTCAAGCTAAATGTGAAGAGTAACGGGTTGCTTTGGTGAAATGCTTCTTTGTTAGCACTTAGGTCTTCATTTAAGTCAAATTCGCTCTAGTCAAACAAAAAGCCAATCCTAGAAGAAAAATTGGATCGGAATAACTAAAAATCAAATTGCAGACCAAGTCCTAAGAAGGCAACCGTAAAGGTTAAGATATTGAGTGTTTTATTTTGTTACCCTGCCGAAGTTACTTCAAATAACTAGCAGAATTTCAAAAGAATTCTGTGCTCTCGAGTTGATGTTTTCAATTATGCCTCCAAAAAGCCTGTGTTGCCAGCCACCCTTCAATTTGTGAAATGGTCTCAGATCAAGGGGAGAAAAGTTTTTCTACCTATTTCTTGGCTTTAAAGTTTAAGATTGGTAGGATGTTACAACTGTAATTTTTTTTTTTTGCTGCAAAATCGGGAGGAGGGAAAATGACTATGAAAATTGAGAATCAGAGAAAAAAAAGAATGAACAAGTTTCTGAGAATGAACTACAAGCACAGCAGGGTTTTGTTTTTTTTTTTGCAGAGGGGTGGGGAGGAGGCAGTGGTGGTGGTAGGAAGAGGGGTTTATAAAGAGACAGCTGGAAAGTGGAATCCAAGCAGCAGAGTTTTCAGAAAAGGCACTTTCCAGAAACCTGCAAGAAAAAAATAAAATAAAATTAGCTAATATAACACAATGCTTCCATTGGAAACTCTCGATGCAGAAAAGAAGTAACATATCCTCTCGAAAACAGGAAGCATCTAGATACTGACAGTTCAGCATAGTATACAGTCAGCCATTGTCATTTAAAAAGGGCACCTCTCAGTGTAGAACTGTGCAAAATAAAAGGAAGCAACCACTTCGATTTACTGTTGAAATACAAGACTTGGGCAACAACCCAACTAAAAAGAAAGAAGATTGTTTCATTTTAATTGGTCAGGGACAGAAATTCACTTGAAGGTCCACTGCACAGACACTGCCAGAACCTGACATGACAGCCCCTTACACAGTCATGATCCACCTGTGTGTCTCCAGGTTTCAGAGGCTACCAAAGACCTGTCATTAAACTGGCTTTATTATGGGCTGATTGAAGGCTTGATTATCTGCTCTCCAAATCCAGAAAACAGAAATTGCTAAGAAAATTTAAGTTGCTCCAAGAGGTAACCGTATATTTGAAATGTAGTTGTTGATGATCACATAAAAGAGTCATGACATAACTAGCTGGAGACCTACTGCAAATTAGGTAGGGGCGAGGCTATAAAAGGTGCTTCAGATCAAGAGAGAAATCCTTCGAAAAGATGCTGGATATTTTTCTGAGCATGCTCTGTTGTTAGTCTTTATGAAGGGATATTGGAACAACTCAGAAGGATGTTTCAGCCTATACAATAAGTGAGACAGAAAGCAGTGTACAATCATACATTAAATACCGTGCAGCTTGAGGGTTTGCAGTTTACAACAGTGTCAACCACCAACAATTTCTAGGAACTCAGCTGCGAAGCTAGATTAAGTGTTAATTTACTGCCATTATGCCATGAACCCATACCACAATAACAGGGATTTTTCTAAAGCAGAAGTATCAGACAAATCAACTAATTCAAAAAAAGCAGAATTAAAGTTCTTGAAAACATTTCACTGATGTTTGATGATTGAAACAATTTATTCAATACTTTTTACAGAATCTGAGTTTTCTGTTTGTACTTTCTGAATTCAAGATGAAATGCAGTATCACATCATTTGTCAGGTACCACTGGCAAATTAAGTATATAGAAAATTCATGCAAGCGTATGCATTCAAGAGCAAACATGTATTTCTCTGAGTCAATCTTCACAGAAATATTTCTAAAATGTATTATATGTAGTTCTGCCTTCTTAAAAAATACTGAACATAATTTGGCCTCTGGTTGGGGTCATACATGCATGTCCTGGGAAGTATTCTAGCTGTCCTATTTCAGTGGCAGATTGTTGATTGTCACTTCGCTTCCTGTCACGATATCTGCCATGGTGGACTGTCCAGCTCCTTTCTGGGAAACAGAAGAGCCAAACATGAATGTTGAATAAGAGCTAGTTACTCACTCTATGAGGGGCCAGGGGGCAAAGTTCAGGGCTTTCATGCAGAAGGTCTGTGACCACTGTTGTTGGTTTGAGAACCCTTTTGCAATATGTTCCATGCAGGACCACGTTCTAGAGGGTTAAGGTTGTCAGGCCAATGACCTCTGGAAAAATATTTAAAATATACTTAAAAAAATAGCCAGATGGGGGGAATGCAAATGAAAACCACAACGTGATACCGCTTCACACCCATTAGGATAGCTATAATTAAAAGAGAGGAAAATGGGAGAAATTGGAACCATCATACATTGCTGGTAGGAATGCAAAATAGCGCAGCTGCCGTGGCAAACAGGCTGACAGTTTCTCAAGATGTTAAACAGTTACCATATGACCCAGCACTTCCATGCCTATGTATATACTCAAAAGAATTCAAAGCAGAGTCTCAAAAGCATATTTGTACACTCATGCTCATAGCAGTACTATTCACAATAGCCAAGAGGTGAAAACCCACCCCAGTGTCCATTGGCAGATGAGTGGATACTCAAAATGTGATATATCTACATAATGAAATATTATTCAGCCACAAAAGGAATAAAGTACTGATACATGCTACAACAATGAATGAACCTTGAAAGCATGTTAAGCGGAAGAAGCCAATCACAATGGCCACATATTGTATGGTTCCATTTATACTAAAGATCCAGTATATAAAGAAGTTGTGGTGTATATACATATATAATAGAATACTACTCAGCCATAAAAAAGAATGAAATAATGCCATTTGTAGCAACATAGATGGACCTAGAGAGACCATACTAAGTGAAGTCAGTCAAAGACAAGTATCATATGATATCACCTATATATGGAATCTAAAAGATGACACAAATGAACTCATTTACAAAACAGAAAGAGACTCACAGACATAGAAAACAAACTTATGGTTACCAAAGGGGAAAGGGGGAGAGGGATAAATTAGGAGTTTGGGATTAGCAGATACAAACTACTATATATAAAATAGATGAACAACAAGGTCCTACAGTATAGCACAGGGAACTATATTCAATGTCTTGTAATAATCTATAATGAAAAAGAATGTATGTATGCATATATATATATAACTGAATCACTATGCTGTACACCAGAAACTAATACAATATTGTAAATCAACTATACTTCAATAAAAAATATAAATATCCAGAATAGGCAAATCATAGAGTCAGGAAGCAAATTAGTGGTTGTCAGGGCCTGGGGAAGGGGACAAAGTAGAGTAATTGCTTAATGTGTACAGGTCTCTGTCAGGGGTGATGAAAATATTCTGGAATTAGATCATGGTATCGGTTGCACTATTTTTAAAATATATTAAAATAAAATATATCCACTACCTTTTACACTTTACATAGGTGAATTGGATAGTATGTGAGTTATATACCCATAAAGCTAGTACTGCTTTAAGTCTAAAGAGACATGACAACCAAGGAAAAAAAAAGCCTCGTATGTAATGGAATTGGCTACCCTAAACTTTGTTTCTTAGATTCTTCTTAGACACAAATTTATCTAAATAGTGTTACTAAGTTGAATTTCAAGAGTAAATTAGTTTTCATACTTGTATTATGGAAAGTACTCTAAAAGTGTACATTCTGTGAATTTGTAAGTTTATATTTGAAGACGTATTCCAATTTAATCCTCTAACTAAATCATATAGGTTGCCTGAACACATTTGCAAGAAAAATAACCAAAAAGAAAAAATATATATAATCACATTTTTTCTGAGAACATAAATAGTGCTTGAGGGTCTGGAGGAAGCTTTTGCTACAGAAGTATATCAAGTACAGAAACAAATCATAAATTTGAATTTGAAATTTTTACAAATGAAAAATGCAAACAGGAATTGGACTCTGACCATGCATTTTATATAAGGCAGGGGGAAGGAATTTTCTTCTTTTTTTAAATTGGCCTGTAACCTCTGATGGGACCCGGGCCAATTCCTCAAAACAGTTCTAGCCAGCACGTGTCCTGCTTCAGACTGGAACGATTTTTGGAGCTGGCACAGGAGAAGTTAGGTGCAACAAATAAAGACAGCTGGTGTGACAATGGAGAGGCACTCTATTGTGCAGCTCTGCTCATCTGTGCATAATAGCCAGGGAGGGGGTCTGTTTTCCCCTGTGTTTTAAACATCAACTTTGTTTGGGGGACAATACAGCTTTATCTTCACAACCTTACACTTGAGTAATAAGAATACAATGTCACTTTGCATGATTCATAGTCCTCTAATGTAGAACATAAGTTACCATTTCTTAGTACAGTTGTACTTGTATGGTATTTGCCGTTCACAAGTGCTCTTATTCCATTGCTCTTTGGTGCTCTGAAAAATACTCTAAAGCATGAGTGTTAACCCAAATACACTGATGAAGGAAGTGAAGCTCAAAGAGGTTAAATTACTTATCTGAAGTGACAAAGCCTTAAGTGGTAGAACCACGACTCAAGGCAAGGTCCTCTGGCTCCAAATCTCACGCTTAGATCCTGGCAGAGAAATGTAATCTTAAATAAGGAAAGCCAATCATTTTTGTGTAGTATTTATGATTCCTTCTCAAAATTACGTTCATGCCTCTTGCACCGCCATTTTCATAACATCCCTGCATCGTGCTGCACCAACATTTATCCAGCATCTACTATGTGCCAAGCACTGTTCTAGCTGTTGAAGAAGACTGATAAGCTCCCTGCTATCACGGAACTTTCCATGCTTATTTAAATAGAGAAAAAACCAAAGGCACAGTGAAGTGAAATGATTATGAGAGTTTATGAAGGGCCAGAAGCAGACTCTAGGTGTTCCGATTTCAACACAGGTCTCTAATTCGCCCATGAATGGTACACTAAGCACTATAACTTAAGAACACTCAAACACACACACTTAAAACACTATTGCATATAACTATTAGAGAAATGCAAACCAAAACTACAATGAGGTATCACCTCACACCAGTCAGAATGGCCGTCATTCAAAAATCCAAAAATGACAAATGCTGGAGAGGCTGTGGAGAAAGGGGAACCCTCCTACACTGTTGGTGGGAATGTAGTTTGGTGCAGCTGTTATGGAAAACAGTACGGAGATTCCTCAAAAGACTAAAAATAGACTTACCAAATGATCCAGCAATCCTACTCCTGGGCCTATATCTGGAGGGAACTCTAACTTAAAAGATATATGCACCCCAATGTTCATAGCAGCACTATTTACAACAGCCAAGACATGGAAGCAACCTAAATGTCCATCAACAGATGACTGGATAAACAACAGATGATTGGATAAAGAAGCTGTGGTATATTTATACAATGGAATACTACTCAGCCATAAAAAGGAATGAAATAATGCCATTTGCAGCAACATGCATGGACCTGGAGATGGTCATTCTAAGTGAAGTAAGTCAGACAGAGAAAGAAAAATACCACATGATATCACTTATTTGTGGGATCTTAAAAAATGACAAATATGAACTTATTTACAAAACAGACTAACAGACAAAGAAAACAAACCCGTAGTTACCAGGAGAAAAGTGGAGTGGAGGGATAAATTGGGAGTTTGGGATTTACAGATACACACTACTACATATAA